TCAGTGCGGGTGTCGGGCGTACGGGTGTCTTCATCACCCTCAGTATCGTCCTGGAGCGGATGCGTTACGAGGGCGCTGTGGACATCTTCCAGACTGTCAAAATGCTGCGCACACAACGGCCGGCGATGGTGCAGACTGAGGTAAAACACGCATCACATGACCGACAAATGCTGTTATCACTGACCTCTGAGTCTGTGGAAGATCTCAGTCGTTCTCAGGAAACAACGTCACTCATGCAAATAGTGTGATTCTTACTGGTATAGGAAAAGTGCAAAAATCTGCTTATTTTTTTAATCACATATTCCCATCTGTCTGTTCTCAGGACGAGTATCAGTTCTGCTATCAGGCCGCTCTGGAGTACCTTGGAAGTTTTGATCACTATGCAACATAAGAAGAACGCCAACCTGTACAAAACCTTCCCCCCCAACAACCCCACAAACACCCGCAGAGGAACGACGACGACACGTGAAACACACACAGACTGCGACGCAGAGCAGACGTTCTCTCAGGAGCTCCAGGAGACGCTCTGCGTCACAATGCAAACTATTACCTCAGTGTTCAAATATTGATATTAATGTTGTGGTCGGCTTTTTAGAAATATTAAACTATGGATGAAGATCTTCTTCATAACAACAGGAAAATATTACATGTACAAAATCTATTTAAAGCAAAACAACGAGAAAAAAAGAAACTATGAAATCAAAAGCCTGGATAATTGCTGCACCCTTCAGTGGGAGTTTCTTCGAACTGTATTTGCCAACATCAGATGTGAATGAGCGCGAGCCCGTCTGTGCCTGCTAGAGTCATCGTTGCCATCCCAAACAAACGCGTCGGCTCCGCAGAACGGAAGCAGATCTCCTACCTTCTGTGCCTAACGGAGCGACCGCAGCCAACGCCGTACATTAGCACACGTGATATAATCTCTGATCCTCGGGAGCTGTGCACGAGACGGACTGAACTCTGTGAATACTGTATTCGGTGTGTCTCTACATGACTATATGCTGCTTACACCGTGTTTGGAGGCCGAGGGCGTTTTCGAGGCTTGAATCTCATATCTGTATCATGTTCTTTTGCTCCTTTCTGCTGTGGCATAATGTACTCCGCTGTGTCTTTATGGTGGGACGACGGAAGAGCCTCGGTTATTGGGTTTATAGATAAATGCACGTTCTACAGGAATCGCGAGATTCATTGCCCAGTATTTCCAGCCATGCGTCAAACGCTAGAAAGATCTTCTGAGATGGTTGCATTCTCCCTCGATCAGACGAACCCGACGAAACTCTTCTCGTCATGTTTAGTTTAGCGCAGGCGTGATGTTTAGGAGTAGCGCCGGAAGCGAGCCGGTTCTGAGATCTCCACCTGAGACGTGAAGTGAGCCTTAACGTTGTTGTCAAATATTTAATCGACCTGATTTTTTTATTTCGCTTTGTTTATATTATGCTTGAATTTTTAAGGATCTATTTATTTATATGATTTTTATGGCAATATAATTGGTGAGCTGTGGTGTAGTTGGCCAGCTAATGTGACTGTACATGGCTCAGATGTACAGTGTTGTGCTTCGTATCCCTCTCAGATATTTTGATATTTCCTGTGCACTGATTGTTCTAGAGGAAGCTGACGGCCCGCGGCCCTCCGGAGCCCAAACCTCACCGAAACGGTAGTGAAGTATCGCTCCTTCGCAAACAAAACGGACGTGTTCTTAGACATTACACACGTTTCTCATCAGCATTATCAGTCGAGCTGAAGCACACGCAGAGAGACGATATCAGCCTCAGATCAGCGTCGCGCCGCTGCGTCACAAATCTGCAGTGTACAGTACAGCATACAGTGATGCACCGCGGTAAACTGCACTGACTCAACCCAACAAAATCTACCACGGTAATACCATGATTTTCACAAGTGAACTCCTGTCATTTTAACTGGAATCCACGTGATTCGCAGGAGGGCCAAAGATTTCCACGTGCAGATCTTGGTCACATGGATTCACAGCATTGACCAATGAAAAGCTGCTTGGTTTAAACGTGACTTGCTTGTGAGCTGTGCTTTTTACATCACGATGCTATTGACCAGAAAATTACGGAAGCTCATTTCCACCACGGAATATAAAAATAAAGCAGGTAATTACGAATTTTTCTCACAATTTTGAATTTTTTTCTCACAATTCTGAGTTTACCTTTCAAAGTGTGTTTATAAAATAAAAAATAAAAAGGTAATTGCAACTTTCTATCTCACAACGCTGCCTTTTTTCTCACAATTGTACGTTTCTATCTTGAGATTCAGACTTCTCTTCTCAGAATTGAAAATGTATATCTTGCAACTGCATTTCACAATTTTTAGTTTATATCTTGCAATTCTGAGTTTATTCAGAATTTCGGGGGGAACGTCAGAATTGTGAGTTAAAAAGCTGCAATTACATAAAAAAAAAAAAAATGTTTTAATGTTATTCTGTGGTGGAAATGGACTTCTAATAAAAAGGACAATACATCCTTTTTACCTGTAAATTTTTGCTAATGTGACCACACTTACACAATATTGCTGAAATTATTATCCACACGTTCTGTACATTTTAGTACATTAGTACATAGTTCTGTACATTTTCTGCTAATCGGCCAGGTGAATGTGGTTGTTGGCTGCTGCTGATGATCTCAATAAAGACAGAATATCAGCTGATGAATTGTGGTGTTCTGTCAGTAGTAGCGCAGTATCAGCATCACTGTACCGTAGTACCAGCTCATCCTAGTAAAGAAGACGCTGATCTGCAGGTTTTCTCTCTTCATGAATCGAAGCACACTGAGACGCGATTCTGCTCTCATTGAAATATTCTATCAAATGTTCCTTTAATGATGAAAGCACTCAGACGAACCAAAAGCAACACCTGATCAGTGAACGTGGGCCGCGTGCTGATGCACAGTAGTGTTTCACTTTCTCTGCTTATTGATTTCAGATCATGTATGTAGATATGTCGACTTTGTATTAAAACTGAACGACTGGATATACTGACGTGAAGACCGTGTGTGTGTCGTCTGTTATTTCATATTGCATATCATCTGTGATTATTTTAAACTCAAATGGAATCGACCGGTTTCTGATTCTCACTTTTGTGACTCGTGATCACTATCACATTTTCACCACTAGGTAGTGCTGCTACTCGCATACAAACACCTATAATCTTATAAACATCTGCAATAAATATATTTGTGTATGTGTGTGTGAGAGAGAGTTCATATTTGTGTGTGTGTATGTGTGTGAGTGTGTGTTCATATTTGTGTGTGTGTTCATATGTGTGTGTGAGTTCGTATTTGTGTGTGTGTGTGTGTGTGTGTGGGTTCATATTTGTGTGTGTGTGTGTGTGTGTGTGTATGTGTGTGTGTGTGTGAGTTCATATTTGTGTGTGTGTGTCTGTGTGTGTGAGAGAGTTCATATTTGTGTGTGTGTGTGAGTTCATATTTGTGTGTGTGAGTGTGTGTTCATATTTGTGTGTGTGTGTGTGTGTGTGTGTGTGTGTGTGTGTGTGTGTGCGTGCGTGTGTGT